TTACTATGGGGGGGGATGAATTACTATATGGGGGATGAATTACTATGGGGGATGAATTACTATGGGGGATGAATTACTTATGGGGGGGGGATTAATTACTATGCTTACTATGGGGGAATATTACTATACTTACTATGGATGACACATACACATCATTCATCTACTCTTGGTCCGGCCCCCGGGTCCAATATATGAACCCATTGCGGCCCTCAAGTCAAAAAGTTTGCCCACCCCTGGTCTAAACCCGCCTTCCTTGGACACACCAACAGTTTCCCCTTCCACCTTGCCGTCAAAGGGGTCAGGAGTGAGCTCAGGAGTTTTCTCGGCGTTTCCTCAGCAGGGGGAGCTCGGTCCTCCTGACACCTCTCCTTGTCCCATAACTTCCAGAAATGGGGAAAATCTCTCCCCACTATGGCTTCATGAAGCAGAGAGGGCACCACCCCCACAGAATGGGTCACAGGGCCCCAGGGAGTATCAATCTCCACCATAGCAGTCTGGTAATTACGTATGTATCACCATGAATACAGATAACCCCAATCATGCTAGGGTGTAACCTTGCCGGGTTTACCAAATCGCTTTTAACTAAGGTCACAACACTACCCGAGTCTAGCAGAGCAGTTACTGGCTGTTCATCAATGGCAATCACACACATTTGCTTTTCCATGCGTTTCTGACATGCTGCAGTACATACCACCTGTCAGGGATCTCCTCGATCCCTGCCGCGATGGTCCCGGCGCAGGCGCACTGCTCCACCTAGTACACGGGCACATCTAGGTCCGGGCCGGCCGCGGCGTTCGAGCTCGCGCATGCGCATTAACCCAAGCCCACTCGGCCGCCCGCTGGGCACCAATGGCAGCGCAGGGCGGGATATTTAAAGGTCCCTGAGCTGTCATTTCGTTGCCTTCTGGTGGTTACCTGCTTCCTGTGTTCCTGTACCTGTGCCTAGTAAGTTATTGACCCGGATTGCTCTTGACCTTGCTGATTTCTCCTGCCCAGACCCTTGCTTGCCTGACTTCTCTCCCTGGATGCCCCTTATTAGATCTGATCTCCTGTTGCTGACCTGGTGTGTGACCCGACGATTCTCTGCCTGCTCCCTTGTACCTTACCGTCCTCTACCTTACCGACTCGGCCTGTCTGACTACGCACTTGCTCAGCCATCCATCCCATCGGGCTCACCCGACCTCCTCACATCTGGCTCTCCCTGGTTGGAACCCCTGGCGAACACATGCCCTACCACTGACAGGTGTGCTCAGTAGAGGCGACCTGGTCTCGGGGTACTACAAGTCCATCCCCACCATCAGGGGCCCTGGTGAACAAGTACCCTGGGGCTTAGACTCCGCGCTCTGGGCACGCCTGACCAGTGGAGTGCTAGTGGTGCCGCTCGGCGGTCCCTCACACCACCTGTGCAAAAAGAGACGTGTTTTCCTAAATAAGCATTTTCACATTGCATAGGTTCATCATTTAAAGGACAGTTTGCAGCAATATGACCTAACGCATGACACCGATAACATTTGATATGTTCAGTACCTAAACCTCTAAACGGCTTTGGGGACCTTCCTGACCTATTTGGCCAGTCTCTAGGTCCTAAGCCTACAGTCTCATTATCTGACACAATAGTCTTATCATTTTTTTCTGAGCCTTTGGCCCATGGAACAGTCTTACCGGATCTTCCGGATAGTTTTCCACCCCTAGTGACATTGGGGTACGGCCCAGGTGAATGAAAAAAGTCCTCAGCGGCTGCATATCTCTCCACCAGGTCCACCAGCTCGTTTGCAGATTTAGGGTCTCCACGGCCGACCCACTTCCTCAAAGTGGCAGGGAGCGCACGTAAATATTGGTCCATGACCACACGCTCCACAATCTGAGGGCCTGACAATACCTCTGGCCACTTTTTGGAGAGATGTATCAAATCGAACATCTGAGATCTGGGTGGTTTGTCAGCCCTATAATGCCACTGATGCACCCGCTGAGCCCGGACTGCAATGGTGACGCCTAGGCGTGCAAGGACCTCAGCCTTCAGTTTCTCATAGTCCTGGGCATCCCCTGGTTCCAGGTCATAATAGGCTTTTTGGGATTCACCTGTCAAAAATGGTGCAAGCAGTCCTGCCCATTGCACTTTTTGCCATCCCTCCCGAACAGCAACCCTTTCAAAAGTTGTGAGATAGGCCTCCACATCATCTGCAGGTGTCATCTTCTGCAAAACATAGCTGGCCCGCGCCATTTTCTGCTCCATTGGCAGCGGATCTGCGGACTCCTTCCTTAATTCCAATAGGTGTTGGGCCATCTCCTTAAGGAGCTCTCGGTCTGCTTGTTGGGCTTCCTGTTGTGCTTGTTGGGCTTCCGACAACAGGAAATTCACTTCCTGTTGTGCTTGTTGGGCCTCCTGTTGTGTTCTTTGAGCCTCTGCAAACTGGCGATTCGCCTCCTGTTGTACTGCATTGGCCTCTGCGAACTGGCGATTGGTTTCCTGCTGGGTTGCCGTGGCCTGCAGCAAGGCTCTTATCACATCCTCCATCTTCCCACTTGCTCAGGAAGTTGCCCGCATCCTCCACCATATGTGGGGTTAGCTCAGGTGGGGGATCTCCTTCCCTGGGACAAAGGTAGACCGCACAGCAGGCTTTCGTCAAAATCTGACTGGTTGTCAGTTTTATTTAAAAGGTTTGCAAAATTATAAAAATAAACAAAACATGAAAATAAACCCTTGCCATCCAGGCACTAACTAAACAGGAGACGTTTCCTCTCTCAGAGGTGAAGGGCTTCTCCCTGTCACCAAAACAAAACAAAAGCAAACCTTTTCTTGCAGGTATAGTGTACACACAGCTCTCTCAGAACACCTCTCTGAGTCCCAGGCCACGAGCGACTCCTTGCTCCAGCCCTGCCCTTTTTGTATCACCTGTTGGTGGACATCAGTGGAGCCCAAACTCTGGTCCGGACCCACCTCCTCAACTGTGGCCCCCGAAAACCCGGAGTGGACTCCACCTAAACTGTCAGGTATGAGCGTATGCGAGGTGACACACAGCGTCCCTCTATCACCTCGCCGTTCATACTGTCACAATATATATATATATATATGGGAACTCAGAGCCCACCCTATTGTCCTCCAGCTGCTCAGGAGCCAACTTGTAGAGCATTTGCTACTTCCCAGAGGAACGGGCAGAAATAAAAATCTTCAACGTCAATATATTTGGGAAGAATATTTTTAAAATATATTGCAAATATATTTTTCGTCCATGTGGATTATAACCACTTTAACCTCTTGGCGCCGGCCGTGCGTCCTCCTGTCGTCTGGGCCTTGACGCCAAGCGGCCGCATATTTGCGTTCAACTACGAAAAACATATGCGCTGAGAGTGCGCACCCTACGCGCTCCCAGGAAGGGAAAATGTTACCAGCACACCGAGGATCACCAATATGGGTCCAAACGTTTTAATGAACGATCACATAGTTACAGCAAGGCAACGTTTCAGAGTCTTGCAGGACCCCTTCATCGGGCATGTGACCTGTTCATCAGGACCCCTTAATCACATGTGACCTTTTCATCAGGCATGTGACCTCTTCATCAGGACCCCTTCATCAGGCATGGGACCTCTTCATCAGGACCCCTTCATCACGCATGGGACCTCTTCATCAGGACCCCTTAATCAGGCATGTGACCTTTTCATCAGGACCCCTTCATCAGGCATGTGACCTCTTCATCAGGACCCCTTCATCAGGCATGGGACCTCTTCATCAGGACCCCTTCATCAGGCATGGGACCTCTTCATCAGGACCACTTCATCAGGCATGGGACCTCTTCATCAGGACCCCTTCATCAGGCATGTGACCTCTTCATCAGGACCCCTTCATCAGGCATGTGACCTCTTCATCAGGACCCCTTCATTAGGCATGTGACGCTCCCAGCACACATGTCCGGTACTCACGGAAAGGTCCCGATCCCCTCTTTCGATCGGGACCTTTCCCGATCATGTGACCGCCATGACAGTGAATCACGGCAGTCACATGACCTTAAAACCCTGCCCCGCTTCTTTAACCCTTAAAGGGCTGGGTCAGCGCTGGCACCAAGGGGTTAAGGCAACAGGGGCTGCTATAGGTAGAAGAAACCCCAGCCAGCTCCTTAGTTCCTGACCGAAGCATCGGACTGGGCCTTACATCTGCTCCTGCTATGGTGACAACTCTACAAATTTCCTCTCACATTCTGTCCCAATCACAATGGCCGGATTGTAAATAATGAGAGCAGAGTTTCGGAAAGGGGATCCGGAACACAAAGAAGACCCAACAAAGGATCTAACTCTTGCCCAGACAATGGAAAACTCAACAGGAAGGTTTTGTCTGGAGGTCTACTTTAAACCCGACATCTCCTGGCCGTATGGACAATGCTGCTCCGCCCTACATCAGACAAATCATATATTAAACATAAGAGAGCTTCCTATAAGCAGCTCATGGCGTGTTTTGCATGTTCTTCCTGCATGTTTGACAAGTGCTTCGGGGAGAAAATGAGACATCGGCAGAGCAGAACAACAAAAAGCCGCGGAGAACATCAGAAGAATGAGAATAATTGAGTAGAACAATGGAAAGAGACGTGAACTTTGCCGAGATCAGAAGTGAAGATAGACTTCATCTTTATTAGGGGGGATATTACTAGTTCATAGGGAGCAAGCGGTACAAAAGAATCGCCTCGGGTTATACACTCGGCGGCACGCTGTGCCCTTCTTTCAGGTTAGTTGAAGGGAAGACGATCGATGGATATTCCTTTTTTTCCCAAATACTGACAAAATAAAGCCTGGAAAATTCTTTTGACCGATATCTTCCATTTCTTAATCATTGATGACCAATCTATGTTCACAGTTCAGCCCCGTGCTGATTGCTTTAGTATCCTGACTTGTTATTCGCATGCTTTGAATGTTAGATTGCAGGGATCATTACATCGAGTTTGGGAAACCGCCGTGTGCCAGATTCGGTTTCCCTTTTTTTTAACCACTTCAAGTCCAGACACTCCCCCCCCCCCTTCCAGTCTGGACACCTTCACCCCCTTCCAGTCCGAACACTTTCACCCTCCTTCCAGTCCGGACACTTTCCCCCCTTCCAGTCTGGACACCTTCACCCCCTTCCAGTCCGGACACTTCCAGTCCGGACACTTTCACCCCCTTCCAGTCCGGACACTTTCCCCCCCGGACACTTCCAGTCCGGACACTTTCACCCCCCCCTTCCAGTCCGGACACTTTCCCCCCTTCCAGTCTGGACACTTTCACCCCCTTCCAGTCCGGACACTTTCCCCCCCTTCCAGTCCGGACACTTTCCCCCCCTTCCAGTCTGGACACTTTCACCCCCTTCCAGTCCGGACACTTTCCCCCCTTCCAGTCTGGGACACACTTTCCGGACACTTTCCCCCCTTCCAGTCCGGACACTTTCCCCCCCTTCCAGTCCGGACACTTTCCCCCCCTTCAGTCCGGACACTTTCCCCCCTTCCAGTCCGGACACTTTCCCCCCTTCCAGTCCGGACACTTTCCCCCCCTTCCAGTCCGGACACTTTCCCCCCCCCTTCCAGTCCGGACACTTTCCCCCCTTCCAGTCCGGACACTTTCACCCCCCTTCCAGTCCGGACACTTTCCCGACCCTTCCGGACACTTTCCAGTCCGGACACTTCCCCCTTCCAGTCCGGGACACTTTCCCCCCCCTTCCAGTCCGGACACTTTCCCCCCCCTTCCAGTCCGGACACTTTCCCCCCCCCTTCCAGTCCACTCACCCCCTTCCAGTCCGGACACCTTCACCCCTTCCAGTCCGGACACTTTCCCCCCCCTTCCAGTCCCCCCCCCTTCCAGTCCGGACACTTTCCCCCCCTTCCAGTCCGGACACTTTCCCCCCCTTCCAGTCTGGACACTTTCCATCCCCACTTTCCCCCTTCCAGTCCGGACACTTTCCCCCCCCCTTCCAGTCCGGACACTTCACCCCCCCTTCCAGTCCCGGACACTTTCACCCCCTTCCAGTCCGACACTTTCCCCCCCTTCCAGTCCAGGACACTTTCACCCCCTTCCAGTCCGGACACTTTCCCCCCCTCCAGTCCGGACACTTTCACCCCCTTCCAGTCCGGACACTTTCAGTCCCCCCCCCTTCCAGTCCGGACACTTTCACCCCCTTCCAGTCCGGACACTTTCCCCCCTTCCCCACCTTCCAGTCCGGACACTTTCTTCCCCCCTTCCAGTCCGGACACTTCCCCCCCTTCCAGTCCGGACACTTTCCCCCCCTTCCAGTCCGGACACTTTCCCCCCTTCCAGTCCGGACACTTTCACCCCCTTCCAGTCCGGACACTTTCCCCCCCCTCCAGTCCGGACACTTTCCCCCCCTTCCAGTCCGGACACTTTCCCCCCTTCCAGTCCGGACACTTTCCCCCCCTTCCAGTCCGGACACTTTCCCCCCTTCCCCCCTTCCAGTCCGGACACTTTCACCCCCCCCCCCTCCAGTCCGGACACTTTCCCCCCTTCCAGTCCGGACACTTTCCCCCCTTCCAGTCCGTCCAGTCCGGACACTTTCCCCCCCTTCCAGTCCGGACACTTTCCCCCCCTTCCAGTCCGGACACTTTCCCCCCCTTCCAGTCCGGACACTTTCCCCCCCTTCCAGTCCGGACACTTTCCCCCCTTCCAGTCCGGACACTTTCCCCCCCCTTCCAGTCCGGACACTTTCCCCCCTTCCAGTCTGGACACTTTCCCCCCCCTTCCAGTCCGGACACTTTCCCCCCTTCCAGTCCGGACACTTTCCCCCCCTTCCAGTCCGGACACTTTCCCCCCTTCCAGTCCGGACACCTTTCCCCCCTTCCAGTCCGGACACTTTCACCCCCCCTTTTCCCCCCTTCCAGTCCGGACACTTTCACCCCCTTCCAGTCCGGACACTTTCCCCCCTTCCAGTCCGGACACTTTCCCCCCCTTCCAGTCCGGACACTTTCCCCCCTTCCAGTCCGGACACTTTCCCCCCCTTCCAGTCCGGACACTTTCCCCCCCCCCCCTTCCAGTCCGGACACTTTTCCCCCCCTTCCAGTCCACCCCCCCATTCCAGTCCGGACACTTTCCCCCCTTTCCAGTCCGGACACTTTCCCCCCCTTCCCCTTCCGGACACTTTCCCCCCCTTCCAGTCTGGACACCTTCACCCCCTTCCAGTCCGGACACTTTCCCCCCTTCCAGTCCGGACACTTTCCCCCCTTCCAGTCCGGACACTTTCCCCCCTTCCAGTCCGGACACTTTCCCCCCCTTCCAGTCCGGACACTTTCCCCCCTTCCAGTCCGGACACTTTCACCCCCTTCCAGTCCGGACACTTTCACCCCCTTCCAGTCCGGACACTTTCCCCCCCTTCCAGTCCGGACACTTTCCCCCCTTCCAGTCCGGACACTTTCACCCCCTTCCAGTCCGGACACTTTCCCCCCCTTCCAGTCCGGACACTTTCCCCCCCCTTCCCGGACACTTCCCCCCCTTCAAGTCTGGACACTTTCCCCCATTCCATCCCGGACACTTTCCCCCTTTCCAGTCCAGGACACTTTCCCCCCCTTCCAGTCTCCGGACACTTTCCCCCTTCCAGTCCCCCCCCTTCCAGTCTGGACACCTTCACCCCCCTTCCAGTCCGGACACTTTCACCCCCCTTCCAGTCCGGGACACTTTCCCCCCTTCCAGTCTGGACACCTTCACCCCCCTTCCAGTCCGGACACTCTCACCCCCTTCCAGTCCGGACACTTTACCCCCCTTCCAGTCCGGACACTTTCACCCTCCTTCCAGTCCGGACACTTTCCCCCCTTCCAGTCTGGACACCTTCACCCCCTTCCAGTCCGGACATTTTCCCCCCCTTCCAGTCCGGACTTTTCCCCCCCTTCCAGTCCGGACACTTTCCCCCCCAGTCCGGACACTTTCACCCCCTTCCCAGTCCGGACACTTTCACCACCTTCCAGTCCGGACACTTTCACCCCCTTCCAATCCGGACACTTTCCCCCCCTTCCAGTCCGGACACTTTCCCCCCTTCCAGTCCGGACACTTTCCCCCCTTCCAGTCGGACACACTTTCACCCCCTTCCAGTCCGGACACTTTCCCCCCCTTCCAGTCCGGACACTTTCCCCCCTTCTAGTCCGGACACTTTCCCCCCTTCCAGTCTGGACACTCCCCCCCCCCCCTCCCTTCCAGTCCGGACACTCCCCCCCCCTCCCTTCCAGTCCGGACACTCCCCCCCTCCCCCCAGGCCAATTTTCAGCTTTCAGCGCTATCACACTTTGAATGACAATTGCGCGGTCATGCAACACTGTACCCATATGACATTTTTTTAGCATTTTTTTTTTTTTTTCGGTGGTATTTATTCACCGCTGGGATTTTTATTTTTTTTTGCTATATAAAATTTAGAAAAAAGGTGTTTTTCTTATAAGATTTTGCAAATAAATAATCTTTCTTCATAAATCTTGGCCAAAATTTATTCAGCTATCTTTTTAGTAAAAAAAAATAACCCAAATTAGTTTATAACCAAAAATGATAATTTTTCTAAAAATGTTTTTTCATTTTTATTTTATTTTTTGATATTATTATTTATGTTTATTTGGGTTTTTTTTTTTAACATTCGGTCACTCTAGCAGTGTGGGGTCACCATGGTGACACTGTACTACTTGTGGGGGGTGATGAAGATTTTTTTTTTACACTGATTGCTTTTACACCCATAAAGGCTGTAAGAGGAATCATTTCTCCTTGTCTCTGGCTGCATTCTTGAAGCCATTGAGAAATACTGTGTGAGTTGTGATTGGTCACATGGTACAAGGGTTGTTGTGAATGGCCCTGTACCATGTGATCTCTGTGATCATTCACAGATTTCACAAGTAGTAAGCAATGATGACAGGAAGTGAGATCTTGCTTACTACTATTCATATGATCAGTGATTAGCCAATCAGTGATCACACGATCGGAACCTCACACAGAGGTCCCACACAGCGATCGGTGCTGCGCGCTCCCAGGGAGCATGCACAGGCTGTAAATGTGGGCACCGTTTATGTACATGGGCCGGACAAGAAGTGGTTAAATTTTTCTGCTTTTTCATTTTTTTAAATTCCTTACTGCATCTCAATGCTATAAACTCGTGATTTTTTTTTGGCCACACATTTGGAATTTGCAAACCTCCTTAATTCTGGGAAATTCTGAGGATTCCCACACAAGCATATGGCAGCATGGGAACCTCATCGCTACTTGAAGTCTCTACTGGGCGAGCCCATGACTGCGCGCGGTCCCCTTCCCTCTTGTGATCATTTTCTGGAGCCACTTCATGCTCTAAGGACTGGGCAGCCGCTGAGTGAACTTACTTTACTGACCTGTATGGTCAGCTTGGACTTTATATGATTGCTCCATTAAGACTTTTACAATCAGTGGACCTGTAGTCCTGCTCCCCCCATTGTGCCAAATATTCCCCCCCTGTTGACAGCAACAACTAGGATGTCAGGACCTGGATCACCTGCTGGTGGCACTGTGCTTTCCAGCTCAGAAGGTTGTAGTTTTGGTGTCTACCGGCTGGTGTCTCCCAGCCAGCAGATCCCAGCCATCAGTCATGATGATGGCTGCTGGGAGGGTATTTAGTCCCTCTTCTGCTGAAACACCTTGCTCCAGTGCTTTACTTGCTTCCAGATACTGCTAGCCGTAATCTTTTAACTGCTCTTTGACTGCTCTCTGCCTAGTACCTTTACCCCAAACCCTTCTGCCTTGTTCATACTCCCCCTTGTTCCTGATCCCATTTTGGTTTCCCCCTATATGTTCCCTGCACCTCCGGTTTTACCTTGCTTTTCTGTGTTTCCCATTTGTAGATACTGTATATACACGGCTCAAAAAAATGAAAGGCAGACTTTGTAATCTGAGTCCTAGCATCAAGTCAATGAACCTCCTGGGATATGGATCTGATCAGGGAAGTCACAGAGGGGGTTGTTCATCAGTTTCAGCTGCTTTGGTGTTAATTAAATTAACAACAGGGGCACTAGATGGGCAACAATGAGATGATCCCCAAAACAGGAATAGTTTTACAGGTGGAGGGTCACTGACATTTATTTTCCTACTCATCTTTCCTGACTGTTTTTCACTTGTTTTGCATGTGGCTCGGGTCAGTGTCACTACTGGTAGCATGAGGCCATACCTGGACCCTACAGAGGTTGCACAGGCAGTCCAAGTCCTTCAAGATGGCACATCAATCCGTGCCATTGCCAAAATGTTTGTCTCCCAGCACAGTCTCAAGAGCATGGAGGAGATTCCAGGAGACAGGCAGTTCCTCTAGGAGGGCTGGACAGGGCCGTAGAAGGTCCTTAACCCATCAGCAGGACCGGTATCTGCTCCTTTGTGCAAGGAGGAACAGGAGGAGCCCTGCCAGAGCCCTACAAAATGAC